ATGAATCTTTTAAAAATAAAAAAGGTGACTACAGTAGAGATGCTGTTTCTAAAATTCTGTGATCACCACTTACATGCAGAAGTCCTTAGTAATAGTTGCTAATTTAACTGCTGCTATTACACAAATAGAAAAAAAGCATTTGAAAGCCAGAGGTACATGTGTGTTAATCAATAGTGATGTTCCACAAACTTATTTTAAAAGTTTTGAGTATTCTTGTACTCATTTACTGACTAACTAATTTTCTTGAGTGTGAATGTGTATGGATACACATACTACGATGGATGTATGCAAGTCAGAGCACAAGAGTCTACTTTCTCACAGTGTGTAAACTCCAGATATGGAACTCTTAGAAATATATCAAAATATATAGATTCACACACAAAAGAAGTAAAATACCGCCTATTTCATTATTATAATTATGACGTACTTTCAACTCTAAGAACTGACAAGAAATGTTCTTGAAAATTATATTTTAAAATGTGTAGAAACATTTTAAGAAATGAAGCCAAATCTAACCATTTTATCTATGAGAATGCTTTTTAATAAATGGTATATATGCTTTTTAATAAATGGTATATATGCAGGATATATAGGAAAGGATGAGGATGAGGAAAGGCCTTTAACTGAAAGTTAGTATTCATAGTGGGCTGGAGAGATGGCTAAGTAGTTGAGAGCGGTGCTGCCCTCTCAGGGAACCAGAGTTCTGATCCCAGCACCCATGCCAGGCAGCTCACAATTGCCTCTAACTCCAGTTGCAGGGGTCTGGTGCCCTCTCCTGGCCTCTGCAAGCACATAACACTCATATGCACAGCACAGACATGCAGGCAGGATAACATACAAAAATAGATTCAGATGATTAAGATAAAGCTTCAGGTTGCATAAGCAGTGGAAACTTATTTTCTAGCAGTTCAGAGGCTAGAAGTCAAAGATGAAGGTGCTGGGAAGTTTGTTTCTTTCATGGCCCTTCTTCCTTGGCTTCTGGACGGCTAGCTGTTTCCTTGCTCTGTCGTCCTGTGGTCTTCTCTCTCGGGATACACATCCTTCATATCTTTTCTTATAAGTCATGCTGCGTTAGGCTCACCCTCATAGCCGCATGTTCACTTCTTCTGTGACATTAACTCAAAAACAGTCCCATTCTAAAATACTAAGAGTACTGAAGAAAAAAGCCCACAACACATACCCGTCTACTCTAGACAGGTTCTGTGCTGAGGACTCGATTACACTAGTGCCATACTCACCCTGTGTCACACTCTCCCTGCATCACACTCTCACCCTGTAAGTTGCTACAAATTACAAAGTGGCTCCCCATCACATCTTATCAACTAACAATTAAAAATGAACTTCTTTTGATAAGCATTTTTATCTTCAATGTCACCTGGGTTTCGTTACTACTTACTTTCAAGAAAACTAAGGTGCTTTATTATGCACTTTCCACTCTAGTAAAGTTGACAAACGTTTTTTTTCATTTTTGGATTAACCTCAGTCTCTGTTTTATACTGAATCTTCCAGAGTAGAAATGCCAGAATACTCTATCTGTGACACACATTCAGAGGTTCTCAGTTCAACCTTTAGAAGCCAGGCCAGAGCAAGACTGTCAGCCTCCACTGGAGCCAGTTCTCACAGATGCCAGGATTCATCACTCCTATTCACCAAAGCTAATTCAGAGTTGTGCCCCTTCCATGTATGACTGGCCACAGCTGTCAAAATTCTACCCTCTACCCCAACACGGCTCTCAGGCCACGGGTTAGCAAACATTCCTGGATGTCATTACATTACTGTAATGACAAAGGAGGTTGAGGTCAATGGTTGTCTATACCATGTTCTTTCTATAGAAACTATGTCTAAAGGACTTGTCCAAAATGAGAAAAAGAATAGCATAAGGCAATAATGAGAAGCAGGCAAACAGGGTATCACTGATGGAACCTGCTAACATAATTTTTGCTTAAAACCTAAATGTCCTTATTAGAATCTCCAAGACAAGGGGCTAGAGAGATGGCTCAGGGCTAAGAGGACAGAGGACACGAGTTCAGTTCCCAGCATTCACATCAAATGGCAGGTCTAGGGGATCTGAGGCCTCTGGCCTCCATGCACACACATGCACTTATCTACACTCAACATACACGCACAATTTTTAAAAAAATAAGTAGAAAAGGTCAGTATAACAGTGATTTCAAAACCAAACAAAAATAATACCAGAAGGAAAAATATACCTTTCATTTGTCAGTACAAAGTTGAAATCATAAATGAGACAAAAGTTTTCATAAAATGGTATTTTTTTTTCTACTAACCAAAAGCCACAAAAAACATTCAAGAAAGACTGTCAAAGACGCTGTGGTGTCCAGTTTTTTAAACTTTTCATTGGTTACTTGTGAATTTCTCATCATGTACCCCAGTCCCACCTATCTTCCTCTTCCCTCATACCTGCCCTCCACCCTTGCAATTCCCTCCCCAACAGAGAAAAAAATAAATCTCATTGTGGAAGCTGTAGTTTGTCACAGCAGGTTCCATAGTATAACCTTTTGAACAAATTTCTTTGCTTGTAAATGTTCATTGCAATGGCTCATTCAAGTATGAGGGCTCTAGCTGCCATTACACTATCAATACTGGATCCTGACTAGGACTCCTCTCCAGTTGTTACCCTGTGTCATAGAGATCCTATAGTTTTGTATCTATAGGATCAGCCCCTTCATGCACTTCAGCAGTTCACTGATGGGGTAAATGTTGGGATGGGCCAATTCAAAGCTCTGGATCTGGGTCTGAGAGGTATCTGATCTGGTCAGCCTGAAAGATCACTCACTTTCATGCCGTCAGGTTGGCTTACCATCAACCCCCACAACCAGGGCCAGCTCTGCTCTGCTGCCCAGGCACAGTGCAGGGCCTGCTCTCCTGAGTGCTACAGAAGGTGAGGGGTAGGGCCTGCTCTCCTGTTCTGATGACCTCAGGGCTAGCTCTTCTGCCTGCCATAAGTAGCAAAGGGCAAGGTGGGGGAATCTCACCCATGTCACCTCATAGTGACGTACCTGAACCTTGGGGAAAGAAGGAACAGTATAGATATTCCATTTAAGGCTCCTATATCACCTTTAAAAATATTATTTTATAAGAACTTTTCTTTAGTTACTAAGAGAGAAAGACTGTTTTTGTCAATAGCCACTGGTGGGTTGTCCATGGGCTAGTGGGTAGTTATACATCCACCCACACACTGGCATCGCCAACTAGATTCCTGATGCATGGCCAGAATGTCTCCATCCTTCAAAAAACAACCCAAATTGCACAAATGGCATAATGCCCCACTTTAACCATAAGTGAGCTTTCATGATATTCTGCACAATCAAGTCATACAGTAGAATCATTACAGTGGTATACTAGAAAACTTCAAAGCAAAGGGAATTTGTCCTTACAAGAAGAAGGGCAATCTACTGTCTTTTATGAAATAAGATCTTGTATTCATTCCTTGTGTAAAAGGAATTTGTATCTTGTATCTTAATGTATAAATCAATCACCATCACTTTGTGTGTACAATCATTCACAAGGGGTTCAAATCGTGACTCAGCCACTTAAAATTTACTACTGTTGGTAAAGTCATTAGTTTCTTCACTGTGTACCTGCTTTATCAAAAGCTTAACATACATAAAGCACACTGCTAAGTACTAACTCAATGTACATTCTCAATGAATGTTAATTATTATCCCGATGTTGGAAAAATGTTAGTGTTAGGTTTGGCACTGTTCAATTCCTTGGTTTTTCACTATATCAATAACCTAGTCCTTCACACTTGGCTAAAAATACTTGACTGGCTCTTGCCTTCCTTTTCAAATTCATTTCCTACCATTCTCATCTTTCCCACCAACCTTTAAAATGCCGTCTGAGTCATCTTTCTTTCCTTCAATTATGCTCTATTGACTCCTCATCTCAAGGTCTCTAAACACAGGATCACTTTGGCCAGGAAGACTCCTTCCCCTGTAGCAGCCTCCTTTGCATGATTTAAGTCTCAATTAAAAGGAGCCTTTCTTGGGGTCAGGTTGTAGTTCAGTGGTAAAAATGTTTGCTTTGCCCTAGGCTTAACCCTGTACCTTAAGAACAACAACAATGATAACTCACTTTATGTGGGGTAAATTCTTCTATATTCTCTTTTTACATGTGTGTGTGCCATGTGTGTGTGCACATGCAGGCACATACATGCCATGTAAACATGTCGCACTCATAGGACCACTTGCAGGAGTCTATTCCCTCCCTTCACTATGTGGGTTCTAAGGACCAAGCTTGGGTTGTCAGGAATGGAGGCTCTCCAGCCCTCTCTATCCTTCATTTCCTTTAGTTTAACCTTATTCTCAACATGATTACCATACAGAAAACTACACTGTTTAGCCCTGAGTATGCGCTTTCGTCCTGCGGCACTCACTCCAATGGAACACTAGCCTCACAGTGACAGAGATGCAGAGCCGAGTATAATGTCCCACAGTTCAGCCCATAACTAACTAATACTGTAGGTCAAAGGCCAAGGAGAAAGGTCAGTCAAACTGCAAGCCGTATGAATTTATTACTGACAGACTTCTCTAGAGAGTGGTAAAGGATATGTATAATAGAGTCTGTGTTTCAAGTTTAGTGGTCCCCACAAAACTATGGTTGAAGAACAGCCTGCTCATACACTTTGAGGAAAGAAAACTGGTACATTCTCATTTCAGATGAAAGTCAGTCTTCACTGCAGGGGATATTAGTCAAACTTTCAGAGCCATTCAGGTCCTCGTACTAGCATCAACCTAATCCAGTGTGTTCCATGATAAACTCCAGTGGAATTTACAAAATCTCTTATTTCCATAGCATCTATATTTGTTTAACTAAACTTTACACTACAAACTGAAGTCAAAGCAAAGTCAGAAAAGGAACACATAAACACCAGGATTCCACTTCTCTATTCCTCATGTTACCAGGGTTGCCACAATACAACTGTTTAGAGATAGTAAAAGATACAAAAGTATTCAAAAACTATCAATAGTACTTACGCATCATTTGAGCAAGTCATAAATTCTCCTTTTATTTTGGGATGCCATGAGCCAGTATGAAGCATTGCTGTATGACCCTTAAAGAAGAAGGTGAAGAGGGTGTTAAAAGGCAAAACATAGACTGCCATCACACAGTTAAAGGTAAAGCCTCTGAGCACCGTCAAAACATATTACTTTACTTATAAACTAGTATTACTTTATACCAATTTCACCTCATAGCATGCTTTATCTCACTTGTATACCACTCTGACTACTGTGGGCACTAGCAGTGCTTAACTGTAATGGGTACCTACAAAGGGGTTATAGAGAAAATGATATGTTTTTAGGAAAAAATACACAAAAGGGAAAACCTAAGGCAAGCAGGTCCTTCTTTAAAGTCATGATCTTTTCTCTAATAGAAATTAATTAAGAAAATAGAAATCACTTACAAACAACAAAGCAAGAGATCAAGGAAGAAAACCCTTAATTCCTAAATCTATGTTAACAATACTGATTCTACAACCTAGCTGTAAGAATAAATATGAAAAGAGGAAAAATATTTAAAAGAGCAGGGAACTTATCTCTACCTAAAATAAAGAACATAGGAACACTAAAATCAAAGAAACATAGTAACAGCATAAAAATTAATATACAACCAAATCAATCAGAATACACATCAAATACAGATGCAAACATACACACACAAACACATCCCACACCACACAATCCCAGGGAGCACAATTAGGGAGAGTCTAATACACAGTGAGTCAGCATCGAGAGGGGCAGAAATGAGACTAACAGTTTTAATAAAATAACAGCAGTATTTCTAACAAAGTCCAAAATAGAGCTATACCTTTAAAACGGCAGAATATACAGATTAAGACAGATTAACTTAAAAAAGAAAGTAACAGTGCCTCTCTGGAAAGAATGAATTGAAAATCAAAGCCTGGAAATCATTTTCAGTCCAACTGTCCACAATGTCTCAAATAGTATATAGTGTCATCACAACAATCTTATGGAACAAACAGGGACCAGCAAGGTAGAGACTCTCAGCCTCAGCAATGAGACATGAACTGAAAAAGTACTCATAGGGACTACATAAAAAGATGGCCATCTCCTCTTCTATATCTGAGCTTGTGACCATGTTTCTAACTGTCCATTTGCCATAGCCACCTGCATTTCAAACATATATGTCCAATAAGAAAATCTTAATTTTTAGTCACTAATTCATTTTCAATTTGCTTCCCAGTTAGGCTACAAATGTGGGAGTCATTCTTAAATACTCCTCTAGCCTTAATCCTCCAATCTTCTAGATATAATCAAACTTCATCTACCAGCCAGTCTCTTACCAAGTCTATCTAAAATATGACAAGTCTATACATTTTTCTCTTTCACTGCCATCACTCTTCTATAAGCAAACATTACCTCATGTTTCTTTATCAATTATTTTTATGCTAACAGTCTCTTTACTTTCACTTTTATCTTGTGTTCCACACGGTAATGTAAGCCCTTTAAAAATACAGTTCTATGGTAGCTAATGCCGAGACTCGTCAGTGTCACCAGAATATATTGTATACATCAGAAACTGTTGGAGAGTAAATTACATAGACATAGATATATGTATACATATGTCTATGTACACATGTGTGTGTGTATATATATATATACACTGCTCTAATGCCACTCCTCTGTATCTAGTCTTTTACTAGCTTCCAGCATCTTTAAACAAGTCTAAACAAATTAGTTTTCTGCTCATTAGTTTCCTCACAACTTCACTGTGTTCCTTCTGGCCCAACATGTATTAATTAGCTGTTGCCTGCCTTTTGGTTCCTTTACTACACAGAGCTCTTCAACAAGCAGCTTGCTTTCTCACTGCTGGAGGCCTTTTTATTTTCCTTTTCCTATGATGACTTTTCCGTTCTTCCAGCCTCAGTTTACAGGCCCCTTGACCCAATAGGTCCCTGTAGCCTCTAAGTGAACACAGCCTAACTCACTGTTCTTTCCCACTGCACCTATTTCCCTAATAACTCAACCATGTGAGACTCTTTATTCATTTATTTGGCTTTTGAAAAATTTGAACCTGCACATATTCACAAACAGATACAGATGGGGTAATCTTAAAATTTAGCATAAATGGGAACAAACGAACCTTGCTGTGCTTCCAACACGGAAGACATATGAAAGGCTAAAAGGAAGGGAGAGAGAAAGGTATACACCTGCAATAGACTGAATGGTGGACTCCCAAAATACATCCTTATCCCAGGTCCTGGGATCTCTGAAGAGGATCTTGTTTAAAAAGTGTTTTCCCAGAACCTCTGCTCAGATGTAGCCCATGGTAGCTCAGTATCCAAGTGGGTACCCTAATAAGGGGAACAGGGACTATTTCTGACATGAACTCAAAGGCTGGCTCTTCGACTTCCTCCCCTCCCCCCCCCCCCCGAGGGAAAAGCAGCCCTGCTAGGTCACAGAGGAGGACTTGGCAGCCAGTCCTGAAGATACCTGATAAACTAGGGTCAGATGGAAGGGGAGGAGGTCCTCCCCTATCAGTGGACTTAGAAAGGGGCAGGGAGGAGATGAGGAAGTGAGGGTTTGGGAGGGAAAGAGGGAACAGGATACAGCAGGGATACAAAGTTAACGAACTGTAACTAATATTAAAAAAAAAATTTAAAGAATTTACTTATGAATTACCACAAACAAAAAAAAAAGAGTATTTTCATAAACAGTAACCTCACTGGGTCCATCTGCAACACAATCCCTAACACTCAGGAAAAGTCACAGTAGATGGAACAAAAAGCATGTAAGAGCCAGAGCACCAGGACAACTGACTCTCATAGCATCTTCTAGACACGATGGGGAAGCTGCACCCAAGAAACCTCACAAACATGGATGCCTAAGCATGACCTGCATCATGACAATACCAGCTGGAATATCGATACGAAGTACAGGAAGTTTCACAAGGGCTCTCTCCTAGCTAAGACCTACAGGCAATCAGTGGCTGCTGAGAGAGGGAGAACCAAACTTCTCCAGGGTTGAGCTCCATAACGGGCTATCCAATATTAAGGGGTCAGCCTACTCACATCTACATACAAGCAAACCTAAATGGACTCAAGTAGGGTGTGTGTCTGTGTGTGTGTGCATGTGCATGTGCATGTGTGTGCATGGGTGCACGAGTCTATCAGTGTTTGTATGTGAACCAATAATAACAAGAAAGAAGTCACGAATATGAGAAAGAGTGGAGGGGAACCTGGAGGAATTCAAAGAGGAGAGGGCAAAAGGAAAATTATGCAAATATAGTATTCCAGCATAAGATTCTCAAAAAAAAAAAAATTAAAGAATCTCTCAATAAATTATCAGTATGAGTCCTACACCCAATACTGAGTGTTCTTCTAAAGGAAAAAAGTGGAGGACACAAAGAGAAAGCCATGTGACAGGGAAGGTTGATACTGTAGTTATATAGTCACAAGAACATCATCAAAGCAAAATGAAGCAAGGAAGGAGTCACCCCGTAAGGCCACTAAAGGGAGTGCGGTCCTGCTTATACCTTTATTTCTGATTTCTGGCCTCAAGATTTAATCATGTATAAAACCACAATATTTCTGGTAATTAATTACAGTAGCCTATACAAACTAGAAAATACTCTCAGCTTAAAGCCAAAATTATAAGCATTGAATTATAATTAATACATTTGTTTTCTCTTTGCAGTGGTATGCATTAACAATTCTAAACTGCTTTCAATACAATGAAGAATTAATCCAGTGAATAAATATGCTGAGGCTGATGAGAATCAGGTTTCTCACTGCTGGAGAAAATAGCTACAAAAATGGAAAAAGAAAGGATCATAATGAACTGTGTGGTGTTTTAAACTAATATGTAGATACAAATAAACAGAGGTGTTTATATGAATATGGACAGGCTGCTCTCCACTCCATATGCTGAGTATCTGGAAACAATGCCCTATAGGGAAACTAGCATAGAGGTCCTGAATTTTAACAATGAATTTTCAATAAAAAGAACCAGAGCTTCCTGGAGAAATGACTGGATACAGTGCAGGAAAAGGAAAAGAGGAACCTGAGATGTCTCACTGTGCCAAAAAGAGAACACTGCAAAAGTGATGGGGCAGGTAAAGGGCTAAAGTACAGGCTGGCGGGGCTTCCAATTCTGAAAATGTTCCAACATCAAGACTAACCATGATAGTGTGGAACTATAAACCACTGCTACAGTGAGAACCTCGAGTGCATGCTAATACGATGAGCTGCAACTTTGAACCACAGGCATGGCTGTACACACCTCTACTCTCAGCAATCAAAAGTAGAGAAAATTACCAGTTCAAGGCTACACAGCAGAGGGGCAAGTGGAGGGAGAGGAAGAATGAGAAGGAGAGAGGGAGAGTGGAAAGGAGGATGGGAAGAGGAAAAGATCTTTTTTACTCATCTCCTTATAATATGATGTTAATTGATAGATATAAAATGACTTCGCAAAAAAAAAAAAGATTTCATCACAGAAATCATTTTTTCAGGCAATTATCATCAATAAATGGAAAATTCTGTAGAGGAAAAAAGTTGAAAATGAACATGATGTTTACAGGATCACATATTCTTTCTCTGCAAATTATTCAGTAATTACAAAGAAGAAAAACTTTATAGAGGAAAAATCTGATCTACAGGACCTTATACAAGTAATCAAAGTTCCTATCATTTCTGCAGTATACATAGACATCATATACTCACATGATGAAATAAGGACACAGTGTTATTTACACATAGCCTGACACTAGGCTGGACTCAGACCACTGCAATGCTCACCCCACATGAGAGAAGCATCTTCTTGCAGTATATGATAACTGTCATAGAGACTCACAACTGCAATATGTAGAGGGACACTTTGGAGCACTCAGGCCTACATGGGGTGTCTTTATCAAACCACTCCACTCAAGGCTCTGGGATCTGTGTAGAACCAAAGGCAGAAAGTCTGTGCAAGACAGAGGAAGTGGTTGCCAAGGAAACAGTGTCTTCCAGACACAACAGGCTGGTACACATATAAACTCACAGAGATTATAGCAGTATGAACAAGACCTGTACAAGGTCAAGCCAGACAAAAT